ACCTAGCAAGAGAACATGGACACAGAACTTGGCTGGAGATTGTGGCTAGAGATCCTGGCAAGGCTGCTGATCAACTGAACGCTGTCTCCGTGTCATTCCTTCTTCGCCGACTCTGTCCACACCTTTGGAGACCCCTGGACCTGCTGGGGTTGGACCCCAGCACTGCATGGCTCAGAATATATTCTGTCTTGATAAGTATTTCAAGTACACTTGAAAAGAGTGTTTATATTTAGTTGTTAAATATAGTACCCTATAAATATTAATTATATTTGTTGAGATTCCTTAGCTGCTCACTCATTAAGATAGTTTTCTTTAAATTATTTGAGCAAAATTTTCTTTAATTCTCTTAACATATTCATAAAAACTACTGAGAAGGCTTTATGTGTTAAGTGCAATATCTTAAACTTTTCAGAGTCAGTTTTCCTGAACCACCTATTTTCCTGAATATGGTTCATACTCCTTGTTTCTCTGAATGTCTAGTAATTTTTGTTAATCAGTTGGACATTATAGGAAAAGATGATATAATGACTATTCAGCTGTATGCTTCTGCAGGTTGTTTTTGTTTTCTTAGTAGGAAGTTGGCCTGGGCATAAACTATACTAATAATAGAGGAATATGCAACCTGTACACCAAAGGATTTCCTGTTGGATTCTAGGTTAGGGCACATACTTAGGTTTAGGTTAGATCCCGGTGGGTCAGCAGGTGCAGAGGCAGACTACAGGTATTTCTCTGTCACATGGATGTTTCTCTCTCTAAAAATCAATTTTAAAAACTTCCTCAGGTGAGAATTAAAAATATATATATTAAAAAATTTTCAGATCTAAAATTTTATTTGGTTCTTTTTTAAATTTTATTTTTCATTTACAGTTCACAATGAGTGCAACAGCGGTGGCAGGAGCCTCTGTGGCAGCAATAAGGAGCAACGAGCTGAGTGGCAGGGAGCAGCATGCAGGCAGGCGGTAAAGAGCAAGGGGTCCCGAACTGCGAGAGGGGACAGGCCAGGCTGAGGGACCCTCCCACCCCCAGTGCATATTTTAATACAGAAGTATACTTTTAACATATTGTATTTATATATAATATAGTCTGTATTTTACAATTTCTATCTCTGAGAATTTTCATGTCTACTTCACTTTGTTGCCAATACCTCCTCTATCATCTTTCATCTTATAGTTTAATCTTTGTTGGGTATTTTTATATTTTCTACATGTAATAGATTTAATTTTAAAATATTTTTAGTTGGCATAACCTGTCAATACAAATCTTTTTCTCACAATATTATTTTGTTATACCGCTGATAATAGTCTATAGTCTCCAGATGTTCTTGTCTGCTTTTGTTACTGCTTGCTGTTAAATATATTTCTTTAACTCTCAATACTCTTGTGGTCACTAATTCTAAGTGTGTGGCTGATTCATACACTAAAGAATGTCAAAAGACAATATTTGAAGATAAACATTACCTTAAGAACATTTGCTCTCCATTTTCAAAAATAATAAAAATTAGGAAACTTAAAGGCTGCCATCTTCTTTTCAAAAAAGTCTTCTTTAAATTTATTTTTCTAAACAATAAGGTGTTTGTCTTCTTTTATACCTATTATATACATATATAAAAAATAAAAAGTTTTTGAAAATTTTTCTACTCACCTTTGCAAGGCCACAATCACATTGTTCACCTTTTTCCAATATTCCATTGCCACAAATATACTTTTTTCTTTTGTAAACTGGCTTAATAGGAAGGCTGTTATGAAGACATTCAAGACTAGAATTTGAAGCAAAATATTTAAACTCATCCAAGCTACAGGTACTAAAATCCTTTACACCCCGAGAGTGCCTAAAATATTAAAAAAAACATGGGTATAATAAAAATTATTGCTACATATTTCTACAGTTCTCCTGATGTAAGGCAATTTAAGAGAGATTTAAAGAGCATTATTTTTCATAGAAAACAAAATGCACATTTTCAAAAATATTAATTGCATTGCTAATATGTTTAATACACTTTTTCAATGTCACCAAGAAAATTATTGTAATGTAAAAACAGGAAGTGTTTTATACTTACTTACTTTCCCAGTGCCAAACAACTGAATTTAAAATTTTTGACTTCAGTATTTAATATACTTTAATCTATTTAATATTATTTTTATACTTTTTCCTATAAATGCCAATATGAATCACTTCATAGTATATTTATTAATAGTACTTACTACTCTTTATTAATATTAACTTTAATAGTATATTTTAGAGCTTTTTTTCTCTCCATAAGTGAACACTTTTCAAATAAAAATTAGTTGTTTGAGCTTTTATGGGAGGAGCAGTAGGAGTACCTGTCCTGACAGAATAAAAGCTGTTAGCACAAGCAATGAACGTGTTTCTCTCTTTCTCTCCCCTTCCTTTCTCCCTTCCAAAACATTTGAAAGAATATGATTTAAGAGACTAAAGACTGTGCCCTAAACCAGGGATTGAAAAACTTTTTCTGTAAGGAGCCGATAGTAAATAGTATCAACTTATATGCTGTAGACTCTCTTGGAACTAAGAAATTTTCCACTATAGTCCGAAAGAAGTCATATATAATATGCAAACCAATAAGACTAGATGTAATAAGATTTTGAAAAGGAGTTTTTAGGGGTAAAATAGGCAGGTTCAGGACGATTTAGGAATTAGGGGGCCCATGAGGGAGACCGGTGGGGCTGCAAAGCTGGGAGCTGCCAGAAGGCATAAATTTACAGAATAAGGGAGCTGGGAGCTGCCAAAAGGTATGCATTTACAGAATAAAGGGAGAGGAAGACACACATTTACAGAATAAAGGAGAGGAATCCACTCATTCACAGAATAAAGAAGACGGTATTAGGGAATAGAAAAATAAAAGGGAGAAAAAGAGAGAACACCACTTGGGGTTTGAGCTCTGAAGACACTATAGTGACCAATCAGAAGGGATATCAGGAAACAAAGAACTGCAGCCTTTATAAGCCTTAAGAAAGAGGGACTTGGTGGATCTCTCTCCCCCTCCCCACATGGGAGTCTGTGCTTGTTTCTCAATAAATTTCCACCTTTTTCCGTGGCTTCATTCTTCGAATCTACGTGGACAATAACCTGGAATATCATCTTTGCATCCTGCCCAGAGGAAAACAACACGTTCCAGTTTAATTCCTGTGTTTCAGTTTTATTTACAAATCAGGTAGCCCACCAAATTTGGCCCATGAATTATTGTTGGCTGATCTCTGCCCTATACTAAAATCTACTCAGTATCAGTTCTAACAAGCCTAATTCAAGCTCCGACAGGATCTCCAGAGGAGAACAAGTTGGAAATACCTTGAGCTTCCATATATCCATACAAGAGGCCCAGTGCACAGTGCACTAGTGGGGTCCCTCAGCCTGGCCTGTGCCCCCTTGTAATCTGGGACCCATTGGGGGATGTCAGACTGCTGGTTTCAGTGCGATCCCCAACCTACAGCCCCAAGGGATGTAGCAGTGTGAGAAGAGGCAGGCAGCCGGAGAGGAGGCCGAGCTGGGGCCAGGTGCCATGTCGCTCCGGCTCATCCCAGTCCCGCAGTGCCTGCTGCTGCCACTTGGTAGTGCTGCCACGGAGGCAGGAGAGGCTCCTGCCACAGCAGATGTGCTCGCCAGCCATGAGTCCAGCTTCTGGCTGAGCAGTGCTCCTGCTGTGGGAGCGCACTGACCACCAGGGGGCAGCTCCTTCATTGATGTCTTCCCCCTGGTGGTCAAAGCACATCACAGCGACTGGTCTACTGGTCCAGCGGTTGACCAGTCGTAACAGTCGCTTAGGCTTTTATATGTATAGACTAGCGGACCGGTGCACACACAAAAGCAAGCAAATAAAGTTCAAAATGATTACCCAATAGTTGAATTGTCTAGCAGAAAAAGAATCAATGTTTTTCAGAAGGAGGTAGGAGAGGCCAAGCTTTCTATTATAAAACAACCATATCTAATATGCTAATAATAATTAATTAATAATAGACATCAAATAAATGAGGAAATGTGATCCATACCCAATAAAAAATGCAATCAATAGAAATCAACACTGAGATTGCCCTAGTGCTAAAGTTGGCATACAAATACTTAAAAGGAACTGATATTATATATTTTAAAATTTTAAGAAAAAATGTTTAGCTAATTCAGAGAGATTACAGTCTTATACAGTGAACATGCAAGGGATAGTACAAATTCAATTTACATTAAATTGTAGAGCAAGGTAAACTAACTATAGTGGTAGAAATCAGATTAGCTATTGCCTGGGGCCAGTGTGGAAGGTAGAAGGACTGCTGAAGGTCACAAAAGAACTTCCTATAGAGGGAGAAAGGATGCATAGCCTGACTAACACTGTGGTTCAAAAAAATAAAAGCCTAATATGCTAAGTGTCCGGTCGACCAGTCAGCCATTCAACCAATCAAAGCATAATATGCTAATGATATGCTAAGGACATTCAACCACTTGCTATGACATGCAATGACCACTAGGGGGCAAACAGTCGACCAGTGGACGAGTAGCTATGACATGCACTGACCTTCAGGGGGCAAACACTCCAACCAGTAGGTTAGCTTGATGCTGGGGTCTGGCCAATTGGGCTAGACACGCCCTGGAGCCCTCCCACAGGGCCTCCCCAGCTGGCCAACCTCCTGTGTCCCTCCCCAGCCCCAATCATGCACCAGTGGGGTCCCTCAGCCTGGCCTGTGCCCTCTCAAAATCTGGGACCCCTCAGGGGATGTCAGAGAGCAAGTTTGGGCCCGATCCCACAGGCCAGCCTGAGGGACCTTATGGTACATAAATTTGTGCACCGGGTCTCTAGTTTATATATATTTCTCAAAAATCATAAACTTGTACAAAGCATGTCAATTTTATTATGCACAAATCATATACCAATAAAGTTGATTGCTTATGAAGTACATCAATAAAAACACTCAAAAATATGGTGAAACTATTCTTCTGAGAAATTATCACAAGGAAGACAAAATAAATTTATCTACTTTTTGTTTTTATAAAAACTTAGGATATCATCTATATCAAAGAATGAAATCTATAATAATCAAAGTGCAATATGCTAATTAGACCGGACAGCTGAAAGATCTTCTAGACATCCTTCCGGACGAAGCTACAGTGGCGGAGGCGAAGGCAGAGGCGGTTAGGGGCAATCAGGCAGGCAGAGGGGTTGGGGTGATCAGGCAGGCAAGCGAGCGGCTAAGAGCAATCAGGCCAGCAGGCGAGAGGTTAGGGGTGATTAGGCGGGCAGGCAAGTGGTTAGGGGCAATCAGGCAGGCAGAGGGGTTGGGGTGATCAGGCAGGCAAGCGAGCGGCTAAGAGCAATCAGGCCAGCAGGCGAGAGGTTAGGGGTGATTAGGCGGGCAGGCAAGTGGTTAGGGGCGATTAGGTAAGCAGGCAAGTGGTTAGGGGCGATCAGGCAGGGAGACAGAGGTGGTTAGGGGTGATCAGGCAGGCAAGCGAGCGGTTAAGAGCAATCAGGCCAGCAGGCGAGTGGTTAGGGGTGATTAGGCGGGCAGGCAAGTGGTTAGGGGCGATTAGGTAAGCAGGCAAGTGGTTAGGGGTGATAGGGCAGGCAGGCAGGCAAGCAGTTTGGAGCCAGTGGTCCCGGATTGTGAGAGGGGGCAGGCTGGACTGAGGGACATTCCCCCATGCATGAATTTCGTGCACCGGGCCTCTAGTTAAATCAGGGGTCCTCAAACTTTTTAAACAGGGGGCCAGTTCACTGTCCCTCAGACCATTGGAGGGCTGGACTATAGTTTTAAATAAAACTATGAACAAATTCCTATGCACACTGCACATATCTTATTTTGAAGTAAAAAAAAACCAAAATGGGAACAAATACAATATTTGTATTTTCATGTGGCCCGCGGGCCATAGTCTGAGGACCCCTGAGTTAAATAATAAGCAAGTGTCCTTAGCTAATTAGGTCAGTATTTGCTTCATTTACTGAGCATTTTTATAGGCAACTGTTATTTAGTAAAAAGTAGAACAAGTGCTTACTAGGAGCAAAAAATGAATATCAGGAAACACACATGTGAAATAAGTCAGATAGTTATTAAAATGATGAAGAACAAAAATAAAACAACATATTATACAAGGGAATAAAAGACACTATTTTAGAAGAAAGGACATTTAATTTTAAAAAGAACTATTGCCTGGACCCGGTCCATCCTTGCTGTTCCAAGGGACCTGGCATATATGGCATACTGTTCTTAATATGTCTGCTCACCTTCTTAGCGCTGTGTTTTAACCAAGATCACCTCTCCGAGAAAGGTTGTTTCCCCAGGTAGGGATTTTCCCCTGAAGTTAGGGAGGGAATAAAACCTCTTAACTGCCAGGCGGGTAATTAATCACTTTAACTGAACTTTCATGAATTTATTTGCGCTAATCTGACAACATATACCGGGAAGCAAATTCTCAAATGCACCTCACCTAGTAACAGCCAATCACCCCTTGGATCCTTATCTGTTCTCAACCCTTCAGAACCCCCAGAGTTCTAAAGCCATGGCATTCCAGAAGCTTCTTCCCAGTGTGAGTTCACAGTTTTATCCCTTGCATTAATAAACAAAAATCTCCTATGGCACTCTAGTTGGTTTTCCTCAATGGATAGGGCATTGGCCTGTGGACTGAAGGGTCCCAGGTTTGATTCCAGTCAAGGGCACATGCCTGGGTTGCAGGCTTGATCTCCAGTAGTGGGTGTGCAGGAGGCAGCCAATCAATGATTCTCTCTCATCATTGATGTTTCTATCTCTCTCCCTCTCCCTTCCTCTCTAAAATCAATAAAAATAAATTTTAAAAAAGAAACAAAATAAGTAAAAATATATTTAAAGAATATATTTATGCTTTTCCCTTAAGATTGGAAACAAGGCAAGGATATCCACTCTCACCATATCAATTCACATTGGGCTGAAGTTAATTCAAGTGTAATTAAGGAAGGAAAAAAGAATTACACCCAAAAAGATGGAAAAAAAATTAACTGTTCTTATTGATGAATGACAAGATCTTGTTTAGAGAAAATATTACAGAATCAACAAATAAAATCTCCTGAAACTTCTGAAGTATTTTAACTATTTTGCAGCACCCAAAGTCAATGTACTAAAACCAATTATATTTCTATGTACTAGAAAAGAGCAATTTGAAGGTGATAAGTAAACAATTTCATTCATAACAAAAAAAAGAATACTTAAAGATAAATGCTTAAAGATAAATTTAAATTATGAAATACAATTCCATTGCTGGAAAAAATTAAAGACCTACATAAATGAAGGCATATACCATATTCAAATATCAAAATACTCCATATTATTATAATACTCCCAAAATGGAACTATGCAATTAAATAATGCAATACTTTTTAAAAGCTCAACAGGATATTTTGTAAAAATTTAAAAGCTGATAAAATATATATTAAAATGCAAAGGGCCGAGATTAGCCAAAAGAGAACTATAGAGAAGATGAAAAAACTTGGATATTTGCACTACCTGATTTCAAAATTCAATATAAAGGTACAGCAATAAAGGTAATATGCTTCTGCATAAGTGTAGACATACAGATTAATGATATAAAATAGAGATTCCTATTAAAAATCCACACATATATGGTCACTTGATTTTTGAAAAAGTGGCCAAGGCAATTAAGTGAGGAAAACAAGTGGTCTTAGAATAATTGAAAATCCATATGGAAAAAATAAAAATCAACTAAAACACATATATAGTAATTTAACTAAAAATGTATCATAAAACTGATAAAGTGTACTACATCAAAATTAAAAACATGTTCTTAAAAAATGCATTGTAAAGAGGAAATTATGTATCTGATACCCAAAATATATGAACAATTCTTACAACTCAATAAAAGCACAAAAATATATTTTGTTTTTAAAAATTGAAAAAAAAATTTGAGTAAACTCTTTATCAAAGATGATATACAACACTATTAAACATGAAAATATGTTCACATTATTAGCTCCTTGGAAAAAGCAGATTAAAACCCATATGAGATAATATTACCTACTTACTAAAATGATTCAGATTAAACATACTGATGATATCAAGTCTTGGTGATAATGTAAAACAATCAGAACTGGCTACACAATTTGTGGAAACCAATGCAAAATGAAAACGCAGCCCCCCTTGTTTATTAAGCAAGAGAAAAGTATCATTAGTAATATTAAAATTAAAAGCTTTTTCTCCTTGCTTCAAAGTCTCTCTTTCTCAATGGGTCATGGTGTTATTTATTTACAATTTAATGTCTTTCAAGATAAATAAAATGTAATTAACATGAATTGTACATCTTCATATTGTACAATGCCAGTTTAAATGCAAATATCAAAGCATTTAACTTTAGGCAGAATCACTGAGATCACACAATTCATCTGGCTTGCTCCTAGAAGGAGCTTTCAAGCAGGCCAGAAAAAAAAACATATGTATATACATACATACATACATATATATATACACATATATATATATGTGTGTGTGTGTGTGTGTGTGTTTATGTATACACACACACACACACACACATACACTGAGTGGCCAGATTTTTATGACCGGCCAGATCATTATGACCACCCCATTAGTACTCCATAATAATCTGGCTACTCAGTATATATATACAAATCAGACTCTGGAAGGTAGGAAGAAGAGAGTTTACCCAGGTATGGAGGGCTTGGGAAGTGTTGAACCATTTTGGTGTGTTTCCAACGGTACTTAAAAAGACTATGTATGTAGTTGTTGGATTCTGTGTTCTGGAATTGTCAATTACTTTAGTTTGGTTAATGGAAATGTAAAAGTTCTTAACCAAACAATTTCTTTAAAGGAATATGTGTATTTAATAAAGAAAATTATCTTACATTGCTTCTGGTGACATTGTGCAAACATCTCCTGAACAATAGCAGGTATCAGTATTGTCAAAACTCAATCCCATATGAAGGCTAAGCAACTGCACGATGCTGACAGCGTATGACTCCAAAGATGAACCCTCTACTTGCTAAATTTAAGGAAAAGAAAATAATTTAGCTAAGAACCCTATTGTTATTTTAAAAAACACACAATACTTACTATAATAAATTAGTAAATGAAATTCATTTTTAAAAGGTATCAATGCATCCAAGATACCTATGTAGATGAAATTAGTTATATAAGCATTTGGATGATAAATTTGTTAAACATAGATAAATAAGCACAAAAGTTTAATTTCAAAATACTATTACTTAAGGACAAGAGCAGCTATCTTGGAGTCTTAAACACCACATTGTATATTTCATCTTTGAATTATTTTTTAAAAAATTCCTCTAATATTTTAATAATCAATTCTACATTTTTCTCTGTAGAAAGCAACCTCTGAAATAGGTTTCAATGATTTCTGCCTTCTGCTATTCATGTCCTTGAATGTAAGCTGCACTTATTGACATACTTCTAGTTAACTGAATATAGCAGAAGTGATGGGTCATCATTTCCAAGATAGGTTAGAAAAAGACTGACTTCTTGGATTCTGTCTCCTTTTCCTCACTTGGGGGAAAACCAGCCAGCTATTCTGCGAAGAAGTCAGCCTAATAAGAGGTCCACATAAGTTAACTTGGAAAAGATTTTCTGGGGTCTTCCACATGACTGAGCTTGGAAACAAATTCTCTCTGTGCTGAAGCCTGAGATTACTACAGGTCTAACTGACACTTTGATTTGCTCACTTAGCTGTTCCCAAAATCCTACCCCACGGAACTACATTTTTATCTGCTAAGGTTTGGTATAATCAGTTATATAGCAATCAATAGGTAGGTATTGTCGCTCTCCTTTGTATTATTTCCAGTTTCTGCAGTCAGATGTTTATAGCAGCTTTATTCATAATTGCCAAAACTTGCAAGCAACCATGGTATCTTTGAATAGGTAAACAGTTACATAAGCTATGGCACATTTCAAACAATGGAATATTATTCAGCACTAAAAAGAAATGAGTTATCAAGTAATGAAAAGAAATGGAGGAACCTCAAATGCATATTACTAAGTGAAAGAACCCAATCTGAAAAGGCTACATATTGTATAACTCCAACTATATGTCATTCTGAGAAAAACAAAATTATGGAGACAATGACAAGATTTGTGGTTGCTTGTGCTAGTCAAGCTCTGGCACAGATACCAATGTCCCTTTTGCTATCTGTGCACCTACAAGCCCCTTGATTTAAATAATATTTATAAGTTGGGGTCCCAAGTTCCAGGCCTAGTAATTCCTATAACACAACAGGGCTTCAGCATCATTATAATACCACAGAGCCACAAAAACAAGACCTATATTAACACAAGAGGGTATCACCTTGAGGGTATCCACATCTCAAACAACATTACCTTGGCTCAGGATCTAACTGCTAGAAATGACATTGTGAAGAGAAAACCCTAAAGACCTCACCAAAAACTACTAGATTTAATAAATAAATTGGACAAAGTAGCAGCATAGAAAATTAACATCTAGAAATCAATGGCATTTTTGTACACTAAGAATGAGCTCTCAGCAAGAGAAATAAAAGAAATCATGTACCACTGCAACAAAAAAATAAATAAATAACCTGGGAATTAACCAAGTGGGTTAAAGACCTGACTCAGCAAACTATGGATCACTGAAAAAAGAAATAGAGGAAGATACAAACAAGAGCAAGCATATACTGTGTTCATAGATAGGAAGAATTAACATCATTACAATGTTCATACTAACCAAAACCATCTATAGATTCAATGCGAACCCTATTAAAATACCAATGCAGGCTTGCAGACCAATGGAACAGAACAGATACCCCAGAAATCAACCCACACCTTTATGGTCAATTAATATTTGACAAAGAAGGCAAGTGCATGCAATAGAGTAAAGAAAGTCTCTTCAATAAATGGTGCTAGGTAAATTGGACAGGTACATGCAAAAAAATGAAACTAGACCAACTTATACCATACACAAGAATAAGCTCAAAATGGATAACAGACAAAATATAAGTTGTGAAATCATAAAAATCCTAGAAGAAATCACAGGTAGCAAAATCTCAGACATCTCTCATAGCAATATGTTTACCAATACATCTCATAGAGTAAAAGAAACAAAGGAGAAAATAAACAAATGGGATTACATCAAAATTAAAAGCTTCTGCACAGCAAAAGAAACCATCTTCAAAATGAAAAGGGAACGCACTGAATATGAAACATTTGCCAGTGATACATCTGATACGAAGTTAATTTTCAAAATATATAAAGAACTCATTTAACTCAACAAAAGGAAGACAAACAATCCAATTTAAATAAAAATGGGCAAAGGACCTGATTGGATATTTCTCTAAAGAGGATATACAGATGGCCAACAGACACATGAAAAAATGCTAAAAGTCACTAATCATCAGAGAGATGCAAATTAAAACTACATTGAGTATTACCTCACACCTGCCAGAATGGCTACCATCAATAAATAACAAACAAATAACATGTACTGGTGAGGATGTGGAAGAAAAGGAACCCTTGTGCACTGCTGGTGGGAATACGGACTGATACAGTCATGGTGCAAAACTGTATGGAGTTTCCTCAAAAAATTAAAAATGGAACTGCCATTTGACCCACTTTTAGACTATATCCTAAGAATCCCAAAACACTAATCAGAAAGAATATATGCACCCTTATGCTCACAGGAGCATTATTTACAGTAGTAATAAGGGAAACAACCCAAATGCCCATAAGTAGATGAATGACTAAAAAAATCTGTGGTACATTTACACAATGGAATACTATGCACCTTGCTTTCTCTCTGAGATTGGACGGTCTGTTCAGTGTTTCACACCAGGAGATTTTTGTACTAAACAAAATAAGCCACTCAGAGAAAGACAAATAAAAGTAAGGCTCTCTTAACCTTTTTGACAGCATGGATGGACTTGGAGATTTTTTTTAATGTTTTCTTTCTTTTTATATTTTTCTATTGTTTAAAGTATTAGATATATCTCCCTTTTCCCAGACTGACCTCCCCCCCGCCTCCCTCCCCCCAGGAGCCTCCAGCAGCCCCGCAACAAAGGCGCCTTCATCCCGCTCAGCACTTGGGGAAATTCCAGGAGGTGCTGGGAATCTAGACCGACGCCCAACACATACTTCTTGTTTCTTTTACCCCTTCCTTGCTTTCTCTCTGAGATTGGACGGTCTGTTCAGTGTTTCACACCAGGAGATTTTTGTACTAAACAAAATAAGCCACTCAGAGAAAGACAAATATCACATGTTCTTACTTATATGTGGAATCTAATGAACAAAATAAACTGATGAACAAAAATAGATCCAGAGTCATGAAAGCATGGAAAACACTGACAGATACCAGAGGGATTGGGGGAGAGAGAGTGGGAAGCGATTAACCAGAGAACTTATATACATGTATGCATAGCCCATGGACACAGGCAATAGTGTGATGAAGGCCTGGGTTGCAGCAGGAGCCAGGTAGAGGGGAACAAATGGGGCAAATTGGGGGACATCTATAATATTCTCAACAATAAAAATAACTTAATTAAATAAAATGGGCAATTAAAACCACAGAAGGCAAAAACAGAGAGGGGAAATTTAAAAAAAAACAACTATGAACAAGAACAATGAATAGAAACAATTCAATATCTATTTATTAAAAATTATCAACACAGTATGTAGAGAGAGAAAGTGCCACAACAAGAAAAAGGCTCTATGGGACAAGTCTACAGCTAAACGTGAAAAGCTAAAAGTTTTTCTTCTAAGATCAGGAAAAAGACAAGGATGTGCTCTCTCACCACTTTTATTCAATATAATATTGGAAGAACTAATTAGAGCAATTAAGCAAAGGGGGAAAGGCATCCAAATTGGTAAAGAAGTAGTAAAGATGTCACTATTTGCATATGACATGCTATTATATATAGAAAACCCTAAAACTCATAAAACAAACAAACAAAAATGTTAGGAGTGCATATAAGCATAACCAATGGATATAAGACACTGGGGGATAGGGGAGGCTAGGGTACTGTCTAGGGCGGGGGGAAAAAATGGACACATATGTAATACCCTTTGTAATAAAAAATTTAAAAAAATGTTAGGAGTAAAAAATGAATTCTGTAAAGCAGCTGGATACAAAATTAATACACAAAAATCTGTTGCATTTATGTACACTAATAAACTATCAGAGTAATTTAAAAAAAGAAGCTCATTTACAATTGTAACATAACTGAAAATATTAGGAATAAATTTAACCAAGCTGGTGAAAGATCTCTGCTCTGAAAACTATACAATATTGAAAGAAACTGAAAAGATATCCCATTAATATTGTTAAAATGTCCATACCCAAACTATAGTATAGATTCAATGCAATCCCTACTAAAAATTCCAATGCCATTTTTCATAGAAATTGAAAAAACAATGCTAAAATTTGTATAGAACTACAACAGACCCCAAAAACAATCCTGAAAAAGAACAAAGCTAGAGGCATCACACTTCCGGTTTTGAAACTATATTACAAAGCTATAGTAATCCAAAAGTATGGTATAGCCCTGGCTGGTGTGGCTCAGTTGGTTGAGTGTCATCCTGTGCACCAAAATGTCATTGGATCAATTCCTGGTCATGGCACATGCCTAGGTTGTGGGCTCAGTCCCTGGAAGTGGTAGTAGCAAGAGGCAAAGCAATCAATGATTCCCTCTCATATGTCTCTTTTTTCTCTCTCCCCATCCTCTTTCTCTAAAATCAATAAAAACATTTTTTAAGTATGGTATAGGTAAGAAATAGGGCCCCAAAATAAACCCCTGAAAATATGATCAACTAATATTTGACAAGGGAGTCAAGAATACTCAACTGAAAAAAGATAGCCTCTTCAATAAATGGTGCTGAAAAAACTGAATATTTACATGCAAATAATTAAACGGGACCCTTTATCTTAGACTGCTCACAAAAATTTACACATGAATTGAAAATTAAAATGTAAGAAGTGACCCCAGCCAATGTAGTTCAGTGGTTGAGCACTGACCCAGAAACCAAGGGGTCACCAGTTCAATTTCTGGTCAGAGCACATGCCCAGATTGCAGGTTCAATCCCCACTAGGGGGCATGCAGGATGTAGCCAATCAATGATGTTTCCCGCCCATTGATGTTTCTATCTCTCTATTCCTATCCCTTGAATGAGAAGAGTTAAACCAAAAAAACTTATATACTTGTACACAGACACCTTGGGGGGGAGGTAGGGGCTGTGAAGACTGGGGTAAAGAGGGGTAAATGTGAGACATCTGTAATACTAACAACAATAAAAATTATACATTAAATATACATATAAGAAGTAGAATCATAAAACTTTAAAAAGAAATGGTAGTAAAAAATCTCCTTGACATTGGTCTTGCCAATTATTTTATGGATATGATACCAAAACCACAAACAAAAGCAAAAATAAACAAGTGGAACTACATCAATAAAAAGGTTCTACACAACCAAAGAACTGATCAACAAAATGAAAAGGTTACCTACAGAGTATGAGAAAGTGTGCAAATTATATATTTGATAAGGAGTTAATATCCAAAATATAGGAACTCATATACAATTCACTAGCAAAAAACAAGTAATCTGATTAAGAAATGGTCATAAACCTGAATAGACATTTCTCCAAAGAAGATTTAAAATGGCCACCAAATACACTGAAAGGTGCTTAACATCAATAAACATCAGGGAAATACAAATCAAAGCCACAAGAAATATCACCACACCTGTTAGAACGGCTATTATCAAAAATACAAGAGATAACAAGTACTGGAAACGATGTGAAGAAAATGGAAGCCTGTTTCCTGTTTTAGGAAATATAAATTGGTATAAACAGTATAGAAAACAGCATGGTGGTTACTAAAACTATTAAAAATAGAACTATCATATGGATCAGCAGTTCCCCTAATTGGTGTAAGGTATCTCCAAAAAAAATGTATACACACTTTAACAGCTGATAGATTAATTTTGAAAATGAAATGTATTTTAATAAACTCTGCCTTTATAATTATTCAATGTGTGTGTATACATTTGGGGGGGTTACCCTACATCTGAAGAAAATGAAATCTCTCTCAAATAGATATCTGTAGGCCATATTCAATGCAAATTATTCACAATAGCCAAGATATGGAAATAACCTAAATGTCCCTCAATAGATGAGTGGATAAAGAAATCGTGATATATCTATATCTATAATAATAAAAGTGTAATATGCTAATTAGACCAGACATCCTTCCTTCCAGATAAAACCGCAGTGGTCAGGGACCACACAGAGGCAGCAGAGGCCCCTGGCCACAGCAGCAGGCACGCTGGAATCAGGGCCAAGGCCCTTGCATGAATTTCGTGCATTGGGCCTCTAGTATATGTATATATGTATGTATGTATGTATGTATACATATACATACACAAACAATATGGATGAATCTTGAAGCAAAGAATGGATTGGTGGTTGTCAAGAGTTGGGACTATGAGGTGGGAAAGAGTAAAAGTAGTCTAAGGGTACAAACGTCTAGTTTCTGGGGATGCAAAGTATAGCATAGTAATGAGAATTAACAATACTGTATTATATATTTGAAAATTTCTAAGAGAATAGATTTAAAGATTCTTAGCACACACACATATACACACACAAATAGTAATGATATGAGATGATGGATGTGTTAACCTTAGGTTTTGTGGAAATAATTTCTCATATATACATATATCATATCATCACATTGTGGACCTTAAACTTACATAATGTTATAACAAGTACATACCAGAAGTGATTTTAAATCTTTTTAATCTGTCAATGGCAATTTGCTTCATTGTAGTTGCTACTAAAAGTTAACCAACTGCACAAATTGCTCAATATGAAAATCACTGCACACATCTTTTTCTGAGACATTCTCAAGTTAGTTCCCTTTCCTAGTTTTTAAATAACTTGTGACAAATGGAATATAGCACTTTAGTTAGAGCTTATTCTTACTTTCCCCAGAAAACAGTGGATTGTGAATATTTGATAGCTGTTTTTTCCTATAAGTCTGCTCCTCCAAAGTATAAAGATTTGAATGCAGTAATAAAATAGTTAGCATAAAATAGAAAAAATGTCACTTAATAAAAAAGCTAATGAATGTATACAAATTCTTAATTTTGAGAGAAAATTTGATATGTTCAATAATTAACATTATTGAATATATAATAAATATTGATGCAAGCATATCACTGTTCAAAACAAACTTTGACTTATATTATGATCAGTTCAACTTATAGTTGTTCTATTTTTAATAGCAATTACATACAGTTTAATTTTTATGTTCCAAAATCAATACTAATAATAGACAAATATGTGTAAATTGACTGTCCCTCCACGATGACCACAGCCAATCAGGAGTGAGTATGCAAATTAACCCAACAAAGACTACGGGCCTGTGGGCAGCGCACACTTGCGCAGATGCAGAGCAGCCAGGGGCAGGGCGGGATGCTTGCGTCATCACCATGGCGACAACTCAGGCATTCCACCCTGCCCCCAGCCACTTTGGGCCTTTGGGCAGCGTGGGAAGGCGGAAAGGCGTCTTCGGGCCAGAGTGAAGGTGGTGCTGGCAGCCAGGAGAAGTAAGTCCTATTCTTGCACAAATCTTCATGCATTAGGCCTCTAGTTAGTAATATAAAATACTATTAAAGAATGAGTAAACTATGTAATATATTTATTCATTCTTTAAAATATTTAGGAAATTTTTATACATGAAAATAATGAGAACAAACTGGATACTAATTACATACCAGAGCAACTCCTGCATCCTCGTTCTTATAACATATTTTTCCAGGAAGTACGGCTCCTTTAAAATGAATTTGTTTCTTGAAGCTAAAAATAAGGATTTCCTCACAATTGCATTTAAGAGTGGTATTATTGGTGTTAAATTTTCATAACAACAAACATTAGTGAACAATTACTATGTCCTAAGGACCATGCTACTCTGAATTAACCTAATTTAAACACATATTTTCTCATACATACAACATTAAGAATATGTCAGCATATATATGCAAATGTTGTGTTTGATAAACACTCAGAAGTATAATAAGAATAAAGCCTAACAATTATGCCAAATGCATTTGCACTAATGGTTTATAGTTATTATTCTGGTTCCCTAAACATTTACAGCCTTGAAAATTCAATTTTCTGTGATCTACTTATTCACTCATTTACAAAAATTAATAAATTTTCCTGCACATAAAATTCTAGATAGGAAAACAATTCAATATATTTATTAGAAAATAAAAACATAAAAATTAATCAGAAGAGAGACACAATATAGAGATTATATAACGGGTAGTAAAAGTTTATAAGCCAAGCAACATTAAAGAAATGTTATCACTTATAATTAATCTCCTTTAGTTATTTCAATGCTTTTATGCAACTTCACTTTTATTAGGTTATTTTATGTCAGTTAGAAATTTTTAAGTCTCGCTTCACATTAGCTCATTGAGGACAAGGACTTTAACTTACAGTTTTCCCCCATCCCAATCATGTTCACCAAATTTATAGAATATAGTACATATTAAATAGATGATTATTTTTCATAATTAACATATGAAATCATTTTGCATTTTTTCTATAATACTGTACAAATATGGACTACTATACTCACGCAAGTAAGTATGCAGGCTGGAAGACATGTTCAGATTTCCACTGTAAAAATCTGTATAATATTGAATAAGGATTTCCAAAAGTAGAAATTTTGTTTTTATTTGACCAGATTTCTATGGAAGATATTACAATAGTCAGTTTTAACTGACTAAACATCTAAAAAGAGAAGACAAATAAACATTTTTAAATAAATTTAAACATTACATTAAACTTCTATAAAAACATATTTAAGACATTTAATTTGGTATGTTGATCATGGAAAATTGTTCAACAGCACAACCAAATATTAAACAAATCAATACATATTACAGATAATTTTACAAAATATATAAACAAAAGAGTTTTTAAAAACTTACAGTGTTAACAAGTCCAAATATCTGAATAACCTTCTGTGTTACAGCCTTTATATCAGAACCCATGTAATCAAACTGTAAAACATAAATTACTTTTAAAAACTAGTGAATGCCATTAATATATCACATACCCTTTATATATACAATGTACTGTATTCTAAATTAGTGATAGGACTACATTCCAATTATAATCCAAGAAATAATGATGTACAAGTAATGATTTATAAAAGTGCTATAATTTATGCAATAAATAAAAACACAATAACATGATTTTGTTTTTCTGTCTTTTGTGATACTGTTATTTTTTGAAAACTCTAATGATAGTTCTAAAGTTATAAATTTTTCATTAAATTTACTGGGGTAATCTTATTTAATACAATTATATAGGTTTCCGTTCTATTAAGTGCCTGCCAGGCTAGTTCAGTCAATAGAGCATGAGACTCTTAATAACATGACTTTAAGCAATGTTTAAAGCATTTAACTTGTGCCCTTTATTATTTATGAAACTGAATCATAACTTTTTTATTTTTTTAATATATTTTATTGATATTTTACAGAGAGGAAGGGAGAGGGATAGGGAGTTAGAAACATCGATGAGAGAGAAACATCGATCAGCTGTCCCCTGCACAACTCCCCACCGGCGTTGTGTCCGCAACCAAGGTACATGCCCTTGACCGGAATCGAACCTGGGACCCTTGAGTCCGCAGGCCGACACTCCATCCACTGAGCCAAACCGTCTAGGGCAATCATAACTTTTTTAAATGTGGTATTTCATAAATGAATAGGACTGTATCAAACGAAAAATCTTCTGCACAGCAAAAGAAACTGCCAACAAAAAGGCAAACTACTAATTGGGAGAAGATATTTGCAAACAACAGTTCTGACAAGGGGTGAATATCCAAAATATGTAAAGAACTCATATAACTTAACACCAAACAAATAATCCAATTAAAAAATGGGCGGAGGACCTGAACAGACACTTCTCCCAAGAAGGCATACAAATGGCCAAGAGATATATGAAGAGATGTTCAATTTCACTAGCTATTAGGGAAATGCAGATCAAAACTACAATGAGATACCACGTCACACCTCTTGGAATGCCTGTTAGCAACAAGACAAGTAACAGTGTTAGAGAGGTTGTGGGGACAAAGGAATCCTTATTCACTACTGGTGGGAATGCAAACTGGTACAGCCTCCATGGAAAATAGTATGGAGGTTCCTCAAAAAGTTAAGAATAATATGTGGGATATAAAACTGAAAACAACAAATGAACCAACAAGAACAACAAACAAACAAAAAAAGCATAGACACAGACAACAGTATGGTGGTTACCAGAGGGATAAGCTGCCCACCCGGCGGTCCTGGGAGCCAGTGTTTGCAGCTGCGGCCCAGGCAAAGCCGCCCACTCATGGTCCCCTGCGACTGGGGCTGTGGCCAGCCCAGGTGAAGTGGCTTGAGTTCTGGGTGCCTGCGGCCAGCCAGAGGGAAGGAAGCCCGGCTCCCATGTGCCTGCGACTGGCCTGAGGAGGGAATCCTGAGTCCCAGGTGTGGGCGAGGCAGAGGCGATTAGGGGCAATCAGGCCAGCACATCACCTTGATAAATTTATAAAAAGAAAAAACAAAACATAGAGTTATCATATGACCTAGCAACCTGTCTTCTGGGTACCTACCTGAAAATTTTCAAAACATCCTATATGACAAAGAGCTAATATGCAAATGGCCATCATGCCCTCACACCATAATGCCATAACAGCTCAGACACTCAACACTGGGGAGAGAGGAATGGAGACCAGCCAGGCACAAATGAGCTCACAAGAGAGGAATGGGGACCAGTCAGGCACAAATGAGCTTGCGAGAGAGAAATGGGGACCAGCCAGGCTGCAGCCTGGGAGAGAGACAAGCCACATGCCCCATGGTCCTGGGTGCCAGTGGCTGCGCCTGTGGCCAAGAAGAGGGATAAGCTGCCCACCCGGCGGTCCTGGGAGCCAGTGTTTGCAGCTGCGGCCCAGGCAAAGCCGCCCACCCATGGTCCCCTGCGACTGGGGCTGTGGCCAGCCCAGGTGAAGTGGCTTGAGTTCTGGGTGCCTGCGGCCAGCCAGAGGGAAGGAAGCCCGGCTCCCATGTGCCTGCGACTGGCCTGAGGAGGGAATCCTGAGTCCCAGGTGTGGGCGAGGCAGAGGCGATTAGGGGCAATCAGGCCAGCAAAGGAGCAATTAAGGGCAATCAGGCCGATAGGGGAGCAGTTAGGGGCGATCAGGCAGGCAGGCAGAGGTGGTTAGGGGCGATCAGACAGGCAGAGGTGGTTAGGGGCAATCAGGCAGGCAGGCAGGTGAGCAGTTAGGAGCCAGCGGTCCTGGATTGCAAGTGGCAGTCAGACACCCCCCAAGAGGTCCTGGATTAGAGAGGGTACAGTCTGGGCTGAGGGACCCCCCACCATGCACAAATTTCATGCACCAAGCCTCTAGTTTATTCATAAAGATTTATGTACCCCTATTTTCATTGCAGAATTATTCATGGTGGCCAAGACATGAAAACAACTGAAGTGTCCTTGATAGATGATTGGATAAAGATGTGGTACATATATGAAAAGAATACTACTCAGCCATAACAAAAGATAAAATACTGTCATTTGTCTTGCTTTTCATTAATCTTTAACTTTTGTTTTTAATTGCAGTATTTATTCCCTCTACGTCTAATAAAATATTTGAGTTGAAGTATTTTAACTTAACCTTAGCTTTAAAATTTGTTCCATATTAAACAAATTAAACAAAAAAAATACATAATATTTGTTTTCTTTTATTGCCTTCTTTTTGTTTATTATGCTTAAAATTCTGATTACCAACTTCTAATTGCTTTGTAAATTTATAGGAATATGATTTTAGCATATGTATTGGCTTTGTACTGGGTCAACTAAGCTATAATGAAAAGCTCTCCAACTCTTTAGTGAGCCATCGCACTTCAATTTTTGTTACCTCTGCCAACAATTATGGCTACACTTCCCTGCCTCATATTTACTTCTTTGAGAATCAACCAACTTTTTTTTAGGGAAAATATTTTTGTTTTATAACCTATGTCTTAAAATATTAATATCTGAAGGTTTTGTGTATCTAAATCTATTATTTTTTGTTTTGTTTCATTGTGGCTAATTTTTTTATGGATTTTGAGCTAATACATGGCTGTTATTAATCTGTGGGAATCCTATTTAAAGTTGTATTCCACCAGGGAGAAATACCATTTGCTTCCATCAGGTGCCCTCATAGCTTACCAATCTGGGACAAATGCAGCCTTATAGCTTAGAATCCCCTAACGACCTACGTTGTACGAATTCACAACTTAAACCAGGGGTGGACAAACTTTTTGACTCGAGGGCCACAATGGGTTCTTAAACTGGACCGGAGGGCCGGAACAAAAGCATGGATTGAGTGTTTGTGTGAACTAATACAAATTCAAAGTAAACATCATTACATAAAAGGGTACAGTCTTTTTTTTTTTTTTTTTTAGTTTTATTCATTTCAAACGGGCCGGATCCGGCCCGCCGGCCGTAGTTTGCCCACGGCTGACTTAAACCCATGCAAGATCTGAAGTATAATCGTGAATCCTCATTATGAAAATTTTGTTCTTTTGTTTTTCTGTCATTTCATTCACTAAGAATTGAGAACAGAACAGATGACTTCTTTTCTTCCTTTGCCTGAAAGAGGTGCCATATGTGTTCAGTAGACTACCCTACCAATTAGGCTTAGGCAATTAAATATTATTGCATGTGGGTTTGAGCGTTTGGGGATATTCTAATACAGTGATGGCGAACCTATGACACGCATGTCAGAGGTGACACGTGAACTCATTTTTTTGGTTTATTTTTCTTTGTTAAATGGCATTTAAATATATAAAATAAATATCAAAAATATAAATCTTTGTTTTACTATGGTTGCAGATATCAAAAAATTTCTATATGTGACACGGCACCAGAGTTAAGTTAGGGTTTTTCAAAATGCTGACACGCCAAGCTCAAAAGATTCGCCATCACTGTTCTAATATATACTTTCATTGAGAATGTAGTCCTTTTGAAAAAAAGAAAAAATAACAAACAAGGTTTAGAAAACAAAAAAATGCTTCACTTTACAAATGCAATTAGAGATCATATACACAAAATAAATTAATTAACAAAAATTTGGCTTATTTATAATTTAAAGAATTTATCAATTGTCCTAAAATCAAAATGAACATCAAAAATGGGTTTTAAATTTTTATTATATCATTGAAATCAAGTAAAAGACAAATGTTAAATAATTTTAAAATAATAATATATTAAAAGGACCTACCATATTTTTATCCACAACAATATATAGTTCAAGGTATTGAGGAATTAACTTGAAAAATTCAACTCTCTGAAAAACATACAACATGAATACTAAGGAATTTCTAAATATTTACTTTCTACTGAAATTATATTCAAAGATAAACTGAGAAACATGTCACTACTGATTATATAACAAGGGTATTTTCAAATACAAAATTTAGGTACTTTTTGGAAAATTCCAATCCAAAAAATGTTTGTGGTTTAAAATAATTTTTAATGAGACCCCAAGCTATACAAGAACCCAGGTATCTTTTGATTTTAGCAATATCTGAAATTAGAAATATTACTTTTATAACATATAGCTTTTCTTTCCTTAGCCTTGTAATAATTTTCACAGTAATCTTCCATGTGGGAAGATTTTCTGCTACCAATTTTAGGAAACTACTTTTGGCAAACAATATAGTTTAAAAAACTGGCCAGGCAGATCACATAATATTTATATCATATAAATTGCCAGACAATTGAGAAAAAGGAATAATTTACATTAATTGTCCAAATGCCCATATGTAAACATTTTTTGGTTTATTTAACCCTATATTCTAAATCTGTTAACTATGTTTTTGCTAAACTTTCATATAACAAGAGTAACAAACAATTCAATTTTATTTTATGCTTATTTTTTATTGTTGACACTATTACAGATGTTCCCCTATTCCCCTCCATTTCCCCCCTCCACTCAGTCCCCTCCAGTCCTTCACCACATTATTGTCTCTATCCATGGGCTATTCATATCCTCCTAATAAAACAGTAATATGCAAATTGACCATCACTCCAACACATAAGATGGCCGCTCCCATGTGGACACAAGATGGCCACCAAAAGATGGCCAGCAGGGGAGGGCAGTTAGGGACAATCGGGACAGCAGGGAGCAGTTTGGCATCAATCAGGCTGGCAGGGGAGTGGTTAGAGGGTGATCAGGCTGGCAGGCAGAAGCAGTTAGGGGCAATCAGACAGGCAGGCAGGTGGGCGGTTGGGAGCCAGCAATCCCCCAATGGGATTGGGCCTAAACGGGCAGTCAGATATCCCTCAAGGGGTCCCAGATTGGAGAGGGTGCAGACTGGGCTGAGGGACACACATACCCTTATGCATGAATTTTGTGCAGCGGGCCTCTAGTATATAATAAAAGCCTAATATGCTAAATGTCCGGTCAGCCATTCAACCAATCAAAGCATAATATGCTAATGATATGCTAAGGTTGCTCAACTGCTTACTATGACATGCATTTACCACCAAGGGGCAAATGGTCGACCAGTTGCTATGACATGCACTGACTACCAGGGGACAGATGCTCCAATAGGTAGGTTAGCTTGCTGCTGGGGTCTGGCCAATCAGGACTGAGCAAGACGGGCCAGACATGCCCTGGAGCCCTCCCATAGTCCCTCCCCTGTTGGCCAAACACCCATATCCCTCCCCAGCCCTGATCATACACCGGTGGGTTCCCTCAGCCTGGCCTGCACCCTCTCACAATCCAGGACCCCTTGGGGAAGTTGGAGAGCTGGTTTTGGCCCAATCCTGCAGGCCAGGCCAAGGGACCCCATTGGTGCACAAATTCATGCACCGGGCCTCTAGTATGTATGTATATATGTTCTTTAGTTCATCTCTTCCAATCCCCCCACACCCTTCCCTCTGAGATTTCATTCTCTATTTATCTCTATGTATTTTAAAATTCATGGAAGAACCTCATGAAAAACTAAAATAACTTTCGTATTTGCAAGTCACCAAATTTTACTCTGAAATTCATTTTTAGTTCACAAAATTATACAGAATATATTAAAAAGTCAATACTTACTTCTGAACTTTTTCTATATTGATAGTTGGAATTATAAATGTCACTGATTCCTAAGAGAGAAATGTTAGTGTAATAATCTTTGTCTTCATAAATCATGTGCATGAATCCTGATGCCACCTCCATTGGTTCGATTCCATAGGAGATGTTTTTCAACTGCAATATTCCCCTGAATGTTGAAATAATCAAAACAAATCTAAAATGGTTCTACCAAAACTATAAACTAATAGATTTACATTTAAAGTCATCTTAGTTTTTCTACTTTATCTCTTTGTTTTTTGAGGTGTTACCCAGAACAGAACTAGTAACAGCAGGATATGTATAGCTTTATATTATACTTATTCTAACAAAAATATCTTACAGAAACTATGTTGGTGGCATGGATCCACATGCTTAAACAAGTTAAGACCCTTTCCTAAGGTATAGATTTTCTAAGCCAGTCTGTAGGAACTATAGGCACTCTCTCCCTTAGTTATAAGTCCCTTTTTTCTTTTCTTTTTTTTAGAGAGAGAGTGAAAGGGGAAAAGGGGGGTGAGAGAAACATTAATCTGAGAGAGACATATCCATTGGTTACCTCCCACATACACCCTGACCAGGGCAGAGGATCAAACCTGCAACCAAGGTATGTGCCTCTTACCAGGAATCCAACCCGCATCCTTTTGGTGTGTGGGGAGAAGCTCTAACCACTTAGCACACTGACCAGGGCCCTTTCTTCTTTTTGAGATACCTAACTCTCCCTGACACTAAATGTCTAAATAATTTTTGTGGGATTTATTGAAGACACTGCCAGCCTAAACATGATTGAAGCTGAGGCAAAGTATCTATCAGATTGAGGTTTTTGGCAATTGTCACCCATTCTAGGAATTAAGAAAACATAAAAATTTGGGAAAACTAAAGAAGTATGGAGAGACCAATCAACACCCACTACACTCATGACTGCTCAAAGCCTCAAGCAGCAGATCCTATAAGAATCCACAAGTAGCCGCCCATCAGGCACAGATGCTGTCAGGGTGACCAACTCTATTTTGTCAGTAATTCTTGCTCATTTTTTAGGGAATTGAAATAACACAGGTGACTGTAGAATCAGAAAAGATATATGGCATATCAACTAATACACTAGCAGGATCTGGTAATGGCAAATGGTTACAACCTGAGTCCTGAACAAGTGCTGAGTGACACAAGAGAATTTGGAATGCCTGCAATATATCCATAATAATTGCAATCCATCTGAAAAAAAGTACACAAAGATAAACAAATGGATAACTTATTTTAAACATGGACATCCCATATATGACATTTACATGTATTAGATTAGCTACCTTAGTACATTAATGTGTATGGCATTTACCTAATGAAGCTGTGCCATGTAGAAATAAGAACTAGTCCAGCTTATTCATTTTATTTAATACGTAAAATAATATTCTAGGATTTTAGAATATTCATATTTTTAAAGAAAATTCAGAATAAGAAATATGTAAGGAAAAAAACACCGTAAGTCTTACCTGATCAAACGGATTGTTAGTTTTCTGGGTGTCATATTTGTCATAAGAATAAACAACAGAAACTGGGGATAAAAATGATCTAGGCAGAAAGCACAAAAACATGCCCAAGTTGTGAAACAGAAAGTATAGAAATAATTACTCTTCATACTACAAATTTTCTTTTTACTAGGAAATTTAAAGTAGTGCCAATCATCTTGGCCTATCCTATTTTCCAAATACTTCTCTATCATCTACTAATAAAAGAGTAATATGCTAATTTGACCAGGAGACCTTCCGGACGTCCTTCTGGACAAAGTCATGGTAGCAGGGCTGAGGCAGAGGCAGTTAGGGGCAATCAGGCCAGCAGGGGAGGGTAGTTGGGGGCAATGGGGCCAGTAGACAGGGGCAATGGGGCCAGTAGGGGAGGGCAATTGGGGGTAATTAGGCCAGCAGGGGAGGGCAGTTGAGGGTGATCAGGCAGGCAGACAGAGGGGTTAGGGGCAATCAGGCAGGCAGACAGAGGCAGTTAGGGGCAATCAGGCAGGCAGGCAGTTGAGCAATTAGGAGCCAGCAGTCCCAGATTGCAAGAGGGATATCCAACTGCCGGTTTAGTCCCGATCCTACAGGGGTTCTCAATTGGAGAGGGTGCAGGCTGGGCTGAGGGAAACCACACACCCCCTCCCCCCATGCATGAATTTCATTCACCGGGCCACTAGTTTACAATAAATTAGACACTGAGAGAGGCATTTTAACTATAGTGACAAATAATATCAAAATATGTGCTAATGAACAACCTAAATTGCTAGAAATATCAAATACTAAAACAACATAGGTCTCAATTTCTAGCACAGAACTTCCAAATCTTTGCCTTTATTGCTCATTGATTCCACATTTTAAACCTGAATCTCAAAATTAAAATATAGGGTTAGAACACAATTTAGAAATATTTCCTTTGCATTGCTACAAACTCATATTCACTAAGCTTAGTTACATACCAAGTTCTCAACAAACTTGGTCAGAATTTTATCTCATTTTCCTCAGTAACAATTAAAACAACTTGGCACAACTCCTGTCCATCATCCCACATAACCTCTATGTCACCTCATTACAGATAAGCTGTACCCATCCTCACATCTTAACTTTATTTCCAGAAGATGACGACTTTGGTTCAAAGCAAATCCTTATACTCATGCTACAAATCCCATTCTGTGCCACATGTTGAAGATACCTACCTTTTTCAGTCCTATAATTTCAAACTTCCTCTCTACAGTTTTTTATCCTAACACTATTCTGAGAATTTATTATCAAGCCATTATATCCTAAATAACTTCCCATGACTCTGTGTCATCTATTTCTTATATATTTTCAATTTGCAACCTATTTGTATTAAAAGATTACTCTACAGACAGTTTCTCTATTTGTCAATATTTACTTACCATGAAACTGCTCTGAAAAGATTCATAATCACCAGAATGTCAAACCCAAAAGACAATTTTAAAATAATCATTGTATTAGACTTTCTAGTATCATTTTGGAAACCACACCCACTCAGTGTAATCACACATCCCTCCTCTGTTCCTCTCCCAGAGGTCAAACAACAATAACCCCTGGGCCAAATTTGGCTGGCTGCATCTTTTGTAAATAAAATCTTCTTGAAATACAGCCGGACTCATTGGTTTGCATATTGTGTATAGCTGCTTTTGCACTACAGTGAAAAATTGCTTAGTTCCAATTGAGTACACAACATATTAGCCAAAGCTCTTTACAGAAAAAGTTTGTCAACACCTGGTCTAGGGCATAGTCTTCATTGCATTTTTTGTTGTTGTTTTTTTGTTCTACCTGCCCCCAAAATATTGGTCTTTAGTAGGATTTAGTCTTTAGCCACCAATCTATTTATAAGCACTTAAATAAGCTCTCATTTTAAAAAATTACAGCCAAACTATTGATTATTACTAAATCTATATCTCAATTACCAATCTCTGCTCAGAGATTCACATTCCTGTATTTATGGAATATAACCCACTTGTATATCTTATAGGAACTGCAAATTAAACTTACCCTCCTCACATAAAGATCTCCCTTGTTCATGCTCCTCATTTAATTACACTATAAGTGACCTTTTCTTAAGCAACAACTAAATTATCCAAGATTCTCACTGTTTCCCAGTCATTCTACCAAATTTGTCTTCAAGGCATACTGAATGTTTTCTTTCCTATACTATGACCTATACTATATATTCAAGCCACCAATCATCACTCACCTAAATTATTATATAATCATCCTAGAGGCCCAGTGCATGAAATTCATGCATGGGTGGGAGGGGGTCCCTCAGCACGGCCTGCAATGACACCAGTGTCCCTTGCCCCAGCCTCTGGCCTGAGGCCCCACCCCTCCCTCCACGGGGCCAAGGCACAGACGCTGGGCTCGCATTGCCAGGGCGGCACCACCAGTGTCCGCCTTGGCCACTATGGGCACCACCATCTTTGTTGTGGAGTGATGGTTAATTTACATATTACTCCTTTATTAGATAGAAAGAATAATTAGACACCCTACTCTACTTTTGCTCCCTCAGAATCAACCTACAAGACTCAATAAGCCTGCATAAGTATATTCTTGAAAACATTTTGGCTTGCAATATCCTTACCATGGCATGATAGATATTCTACAAATCGGTTCTACCTACTACCTTTCCAAATATTTTACTTCTATCCCCCCAAAATATGTTCTTTAGTAATTCACACTGACTTTTTTGAACACCACAGAATCTACTTAGTCTCACACCTCTATGTTTTACATATGATTTCCTCTAAACAGAATGCCCCCCTATGGTACCCCATTTCTTTACAGAGGTAAAGGCATCTTTCCTCAAGATATAAGTCATCTCTTACCTCTTCCCAAAAAGCCTTCCCAGATTTCAGAGACTACTGTTTACACACTTATCATAATACCATATTATAATAAAATTTCCCATTTCTCTACTAATGTGTTTGAATATATCACTCTGCATTATAAATTCTTTAAATGTGGATCATATTTTCTTATTTTTTGTATGCCTAAGACTTTATTCAATAACCAATATACATTAGATTTCAAATGCATATAGGTATCAAATATACACCTGATTTGAATTTGTCCTATTCACAACTATTTAAAAAATCAAGAAACCAAAGAATTAAAATTTAAAAAGGTAAAATAATTACTTACTGCTTTTTGAGGTGAATGAAATATGGTTTTTCTTTTATTGTAATCATATAAGCAACCTGTAACATGAAAATTCAAAATACTTTAAATAATTATAAATAATATGTTAAATAATGTTTCCTGTCAGTTATGCTTTTAAAATATTGACTAAATTAATAATAATATACAATAATTATATGTGCTTCCCTTCCTATGTGGATGGATACTTGAAGCTTCAAAGTTCTACATTGAGGAAAAGGTGGTAGAGTCCCCAAATGCCTTCCAGTCACCATAATTAGTATATCTGAGAGAAAAGCCTAGCTGATTATTGTTATCTTTTGGCTTAGACCAATTTGCCATGCTGAAGGTAAATACCAAAGGTGTCCCCCTTACTTGAGAGAACTTGTTGCTTGCCACTCCCAGCCATCCTGGAAAGTAAATTTCCCTATTCATTGGAACTGGTAGTTCTATAGATAGGACTACAAGGAATGCACTACACCTCTAGCAACATTCCACAACAACTACCTTTGTACTTTGCCTCTCCAGTTAAGCAAGGACATTCCCCTGGAATAGAATGTAGGAGAGGATAGGGAGAGAGCAGAGACAAGTATGGAGAACCCTCTAGAACAGCAGTTCTCAACCTGTGGGTGGCAACCCCTTTGGGGTCGAATGAACCTTTCGCAGGGGTCGCCTAAGACCATCGGAAAACACATATATAATTACATATTGTTTTTATGATTAATCACTATGCTTTAATTATGTTCAATTTGTAACAATGAAAATACATCCTGCATATCAGATATTTACATTATGATTCATAACAGTAGCAAAATTACAGTTATGAAGTAGCAACGAAAATAATTTTATAGTTGGGGGTTCACCACAACATGAGGAACTGTATTAAAGGGTCACGGCATTAGGAAGGTTGAGAACCACTGCTCTAGAACATAACAGAAAATGAGTCATTAAATTATTTATTTGGTTAATATTTAAAAACTAGAGGCCCAGCGCACAAAATTCATGTGCGGATACGGTCCCTAGGCATGGCCTGTGATTAGGGCCATCTTCCCCAGCTGCTCGCAGCCAGCCCTGCCCCCAGCCCCAGGTCCCCTTTTTGGAGCCTAATGGCCAGGGGAAGAGACTGAGAGATCGGCCGTTCCCTCCCACTCGCTGGCCCCGCCCCTGCTGCGGGTTTTCCTGCGTGTGTGATGACTGGCGGGGCAGGGGCCTTGGCCTGGTGCTGCCCGCATCCCAACCACCCATACCTAGTTCCCCATTCACAGCCTACCGGCCAGGAAAAGGGAGATTGAGAGGGTCAGTGCACCTCATAGTGACTGGTTGAGTGGTCATTCTGCTGTTAGGGTCAATTTGCATATTACCCTTTTATTATATGGGATTGTTTTAGCCAGATAAAAAGCCATTTAAAAGTTTTCAGTACCTTAACTATTATAGCCAAATAAGAATCTTTGCAACAGATAAATGATCTAAGAAGAGTCATCTGAATAGCACACTGAAACGAGGTGCAAGTGGAGTCTGGATAGGACCTTGAATACTGTGCCCTCTAAAAATCCCTTGTTATTAAACAAATATGAAAAATACAGTGGCATATGACAGTACCATTAAAAATTTAAATCTACATATATTACAATGAAAAAAAAACCCCTAGAATGTAATTAACAAAAAATGTACAAAACTGATAGGAGGGGGGAAAAAAACAATAACCCCAAAAAGACATCATCCAGAGTTTTTACAATTTTCCAGGCACAAACGTCCAGCTATTTGGGTTGAATTGTTTTGCTCTAACTTTATATGTGAATTTCTAACCTTTAGATCTCAGAATGTGATCCTACTTGGATTGGGTCTTTATAGAGATAATGAAGTTAAAATAACATCGTTAGTGCAGGCCCTAATCCAATATAACTGTGGTCCTTATCAAAAGAGAAAATTTGGACACAGACATACTCAAAGGCAGAAAGCCACATGAAGATTCATAAGGAGAACATATCCATCTGCAAGCCAAGGACAGGGGCCTGAAGCAGATCCTCCCCTCATAATCTTCAGAAAGAACGAACTTTGCCCACACCTTGGTTTTGGACTTCTAGATTCCAGAACTGAGACAATTTCTGTTGTTTAAGCCACGGTTTTTGTGTTACTTTGTTATGCCAGCTCTACAAAAGTAATACACCAAAATTCAGTAAAAAATTATAAGTAATGCTACAGAACAGGAAGTTGGCCTCGGACACCTAGGGTGCATCCCCTCCCTGAACGACCTGTAAAGAAAAAAGGATATAAAAGCGGCCACCAGGTGGCTCCCAACAGCTGGCGTGAACATCAGTGGGATGGATCCAATCCCAGGTTGGCAAGGGCATCCCACCACCCACCCAGCGGCCGGCCCCACTCCACTCCCCTGGGGACCCCACCCGTGCATGAATTCATGCACCAGACCTCTAGTAGATAATCCTGTGACACTGAAATTTCACTTCTGGGCACACATCCAACTGAAATGAGTAACCATGTACATACCAAAGACATGCAAAAATAATCAGAGCCTCTTATTCATAATATTACCACATTGGACACAACCTAAATGTTCAGCAACAGTCAAAAGGATATAAAACTATAATATATTCATACAATGGAATACTATATAACAATGTAAGAGAATAAACTGGGCTACATGCAATGGCATAGATTAATCTAAAAGACAGAAGGTTAAACAAAAGAGGCTACATAAAAAGATTGCATAGTTATGAGTCCATATACAGACATATATTCATGTATATGTAAACGTATATTTATTTAATATATGTATATCTATATATAAGGAATTACATATGTATCAAGAATAGACATCATTACAGAGGCAGAGCTGCCTCAAACAGATTGTCAAACTGCATCGGGAAGGCCGGGGAGGGTTCGGGGGCGGGAGGTATGGGGGTAAGAGATCAACTAAAGGACTTGTATGCATGCATATAAGCATAACCAATGGACATAAGACACTGGGGAATAGGGGAGGCTAGGGGACTGTCTAGGGCGGGGGGAAAGAATGGACACATATGTAATACCCTTTGTAATAAAAAATAAAATTTAAAAAAAAAGAATAGACATCATTTATCTACGCTGATAGAAATAAGAATAGTGTTAATACTTTTGGGTATTGACTAAGAGGCTATAAGAGGGCTCCTTCTAGACATTCTATACCTAGAAATGTGTGGTAGTAATACAGATGTTTACAATGTGTACAAAAATGTTCATAATAGACAAAACTAATCTATGATGATAGAAAGCAGAACAGTGTCATTAGGGTGGTGGAAATATGGAAATATCTGGGATAATCTTTTTCTTGATTTGGATATTGATTATAAGAACCTGTACATTTGTAAAAACTCAAAGAACTGTACACTTAAAATCTCTATTTTTCACTGTGTATAAGTTATCCCTCAAAAAGTTTATGTTAATAATTATTTAAGAAATGCAAATTAAAACAATAATGCTGTAACACTTAAGTCCATCAGGATAACAAATCACATTGTTAAAATATACTAATTAAGGTGTTGGCTGTCACTGTGATCTCATCTGGAGACAGATGAAAAACTGTTAGCAGAAACTGATAAATGCTTCTAATATTTACACTGAAATGCAAAGGAGAATAATAATCAAGACTATCTTGAAAAACAAGAAGAAAGTTGGAAGCTTGCACTACCAGATATCAATTTTTTATTATAAAGCTACAGTAATTAAGAAAGTATGAAGATTAATTGACTTTGGGGAGTGGGCACACAATGCAATATACAGATCATGTATCATAGAATACACTTGAAACCTATATGATCTTTTTACCCAATAAACTTAATTTAAATATATATATAAAGGAAAAAAGGGAAAAGAGAGATGCAACGTAATAGTGAAGAATAGAAAAGCAAATTAAGACCAATTTATGTCATCACAGGTTTTGTACACTATCTCACAATGCTAATATCCAGTGTTTTTTCTCACTAGAAAATGTTCAGTGGAAAAAACAATGAAATAAATTGGATGTGACCACTGCAGAAACTATGTTACAATATAAATGGAATAACTGCAAGGAATTTTATAAGCAAATTCTGCAAAACAAGGAACTATTTAAGAAAGTCAAATCATCATGGAAATACAATTCAAGAAAGAGAGAGGTGTGTAATTTAGACATTTGTAATTTATTTCTGCTGAACAATAATTTTTTGTATTTAAAATTATTTAGTATGGCAACATACAATATTTATATATATATACATATATATATGTATATATATATATTTCAAATTTAATTGGGTGCCCCATGTTTTATTTGTAATATCTAGGAGCTCTCTAATTGTCCCCTAAGCCCTACTATTTTTGAAGGTCCTACCTCATATTATACTAAAATATTAAAATATAATCACACCCCACATTAATAATAATTTTCTGTTGCAAAAATATTAAAAGAGAGCTTTTAAAGTTGTTATAGTTCAAAGAAACACTGAATTTCCATAGTATTAAATGTCCCTTTTTAAATGTTAGAGATTAGACAAATGGAGAATTCAAAGATTGGTCAGTCATAATAAGGGAAGAGGATTGGTATGAATTTCAGAAAAAAAGAAAATTAAACAAAAAATCAAATGGAGACCCTTCTTTCTAATCCTACATCACAGCATGACTGAGAATTCACTTGGGGGGGGGTCGGGGGGAGGGGGAGGGTTGTAAATAAAATCTAGCTACAAAAAGAAAAAAAGGTAGAGAACCAGTATATAGGGACATAAGACTACCTTCAGAGAATTGGGAATGATGGGGAAAGGAAATCCTGGTACAAAGAGTGTATCCTTATGTGAAACAGAGTGAGAAGGTTTTTTAAAACCACTAAAAGGAAAACATAAAATCCAAGACTACAATTATGACTAACATTAGATTATCCTATAATAGAAGGGACCATGTGAGAAGTAGATTTTCCTGGGGAATTAGAGAAGGAATGTGTACTGATATCTAGGTTCCAACTGTGAAGTCTATGTGCTGATCACCTTTAAGCTCCTCACTGACTCATTGAAAGGTGAGGCAAGTAGAGTAGTCCTCCCTTATCCATGGGGGATAGGTCCTATGACAACCCCCCAGTGAATGCTTGAAAGCATGAATAATAATGAACCCTATATATACTATTACACTATGTTTTTTATATATGTACATACCTATAACAAAGTTTAAATTATAAATTAGGCACAGTAAGAGATTAACAAAAAACTAATAATAAAATAGAACAATTATAACAATATCTTTTTTTGGTTTTATTTTATTATTTATTTTTTTTTAATTTTATTTTTTATTACAAAGGATATTACATATGTGTCCATTTTTCTCCCCCCGCCCAAGACAGTGGTGAACATTAGGAAGTTCTGAACACCCTAAAGGAGAGTTGACCACTGATCCTCCAAAGCTATTAGATATTAAGCAGATTATCTTTATAGATTAAATGCAAAATAATAAAATAATTAGTGTTATCTGTAAGTGTTTCATATGTATTTTGGCAATTCACATGGCCAAATCGGAGTAAGACTGAAGCTACAACGATGGGTAGCATTTGCTAGCTGTTCTTAGAATGTGACGGTTGGGGTGAGAAACTTCTGGCCCGAGGGCCGTGTAAGGCCTGCAAAATCATTTGCTCTGGCCCTGCCAAGGCATTAGGGATGAGTTAATTAAATGTTTGACCAAATATAGCAGGCTAATGTTTAAACTGATAATTTTGTATGGCCCCAAATTGGTATTACACATATCCAAACGACCCTTTTCAGATAAAAGCTTCCCCACCCCTGAATCTGAGTTCAGTTACCTGAGCTACCATTTATTATCTGTGTGACTTTGGATAATGTATTTGATCTCTCAGTGTTTTTTTC